ACGTGTGCTCTTGCGTGATATAATATACGACAAAAATTGTGTTTTATTTATAAAACATTTTTTGTTAATAACTTAAAATAATGACTAAAACCTTTTTTGAAGATCACTTAGGGCCATGACTTTAATAGTATATATGTCAAAGTCAAGACTAATGAAGGTGATCCCCTGATTGAAATATTTATCTATTACATTTTCATCATTTGATCTTAAAAAATGGCTTTTTCATAGGAATCGCAGAAAATCCTTTTAAGGGCTTTTATTTTAGCCCAAATTAAAGCTTTTGACAAAATTTCATTGAAATCGGAGGTGGGTCGTTTTCGGAAGTTTATCCGCGCGCTTTCTTGAGGGTAACATATTTATGAGTGTGTTAGCTGTCCGAGCTAACATATCGCGGGAGAAAGATGCAAGATTGGCTTTAAATCAGGTCAACTCAAGTGGCCGCGAGTGGCAATATTTTCAATCTTTTGGAGTGAAATTCACTCCAGAAAATTTAGAGAATTAACATATAATATTCGAATTCGATGAATATTCACGCTTGGAAAGCAACGAACATGGAATATACAAATGAAAATAATTAGTTACACGCGTACTTTCCGACAATTATATAATTAATGACCGTATATATCATTGCTATGACATAAGAAATTCTAAGCGACGTTGTATATAATAAAACTCGTTCTACAATTGCGTAAACGTAATTGTAGTTGTAGTTGTAAGAATTAATTACAGTAGAATATTTTCCTTATATTTTTCGCATCGTATTATCGCGTCAATACCGAATCATGTTAACCACATTAACTATATTATATTATTATACTCTTATCATTTATACACTATATGTAATATTCATTTCGAGTAGACTTTAATAACAGCAGTTTGCTGATGTCTCATTCTTTGTGTTTACTCACTGCTTTCTTTGCGCTTTATCTTACTCTTACTTGTATACCTCTCTATTTTTCTTGTACAGTAGAAATAAAGAATTATTAATATTATATTCGATTGTGATTGATCAATTCTTACAACTACATTACGCTTATTGTAGACCGAGCTTTATAATATATATATGCACGTACATGACATACTGCATGTTTACCAAATCTCTTGCACGTGGAGCGCACAAAATAGTTGTGACTTGAACGGTCTCGCGGCTCGTGCGTAAAACCATTAAGAATTAATGTCATAAGTGAATCCCACCAACTTGGCGCGTACGTTTAGAGGAAACGGACATAGAATCATTTTCAGGTACGTATTTTCCGCTTTTAAATTCATTACCATTACATTAACAATATCCTTTACCCTTCCTTTCATCTTTCGGTTTTTTCCTCTTCCCTTCCTCTCTCACTATTCCCCTTCTTTGCTTCCTCCTGCTTACGAGATAAAGATGGCGTTATATGCTTAAGCTCACATTATACAGACAACTCTCAAGTTTGACTTGTATCGAAATAAACGCAGAGCTGCTGTCCACTGACTGTCATTGCAATAATTTATACAAAGTGTTACACGGACTCCTTAAGGTATTTTAATTTTAATCTAAGCTTAATTCTATTTTATGTTCTTTTTACCGTGTGGACTAGCATTTTCATTTTATTGTACAATATATTCTACATAGAATTTCCAAATACTTAATATATTATTTAAACCGCCATAAAATCGGGGAGATTGATGTTACACACTGTAATGTACTTTCACGCGGATTTACGCATACATCTAACTTGAAGATTTGCGCCTCAATCTAGTTCATATATAATGTAATAATTTCAAATGATATTAGTATTCACATTTTTATATTGTCAGACCGTTAAGATGACCGTATTTGTTTGTACATTATTTTTATATTGTCAGACCGTTAAGATGACCGAATTTTGTTTGTATAAGATTATGTATAAGTAATATTTTTTTGTCTTAACATTGAGAATGATCCTATTTGGATCGAAACGATATCTTATCTGATTCAAAAGTTATTTTTACTCGGAGCATCAAACACGAGCATCAAACATTTGGCTCACAGCCCTTCTTATTAATTTTTATTTATTGAGCAGGATATTTTCAATTTTATTTTATTTTATTTTATATTATTTTATTTTTGCGCCGACCCAGTATCCTGGTGCCGCGGGCTATCGACATGTTACGGGCGAAGTCCGCATGGTGTATACAGTGTCGGCATTGCTCGGGCCGGCCAACATTGTACAACGCGATTAGGTAAAGTCTGTGAAAATGGTTTATTTAGCGGACATGGTCCAGTTTTATGTGGGCAAAGTCATTACTGCCCATCCAACGTTGGTGCAGTGTCAGCTACTATTATTTTATTGCGGACTTCGCCCGTAACAGACATAATTAATACGCAAGCATATGTTAGCGATTCTTAAATATCTGTTATAAACTACGTTTGTCTTGCGTGACGTAATTAATATATCCATATAGTAAAAATGAGTAGTGTCACTGTTATACCAGCAGTGCCACTCTACATTTCAGTAGTTTTTTTACTGCACTAATAGTTCATTTTTCCGCGGGGTAATTTCACATGCATCTCAATTGCCGCGCTACGTTGCACAAGGTCATTAATAATTAATCCGTCGATATGTATGCGGGAGACTGAGAATAATAAGAGCCTGGTAATGCGTGTTTCAATAAACGTTATGTAACTTTCGCCATTGCGTTACGTTCTACATTTTCCGCAAAATATCTCGACGAATCCGACAATCCGCTTTGCCGCCGCAAGTTGATATCGATATTTTCCGACATTCATTTCCTCGCACGCTCGCCACCCAATACCTACATCCGTTAATTCTTCATTTTATACACAATAACCTCGACTGTGACATGTAATGTACTCAACAAAGCAACCGGCGACTGCACCGTGACCCGTCTTTTGTTGATTCTAATAAGGCATCCCCGAGGTCGGGGAAGCGTTGGTTTTGTCGGTGCAGAATACGCCGGGCGCGATTAAACCCGCCGGATGAATCGCGATCTTACCCGGAAGTTTATCAGATGTTATATTCCACGAAAGGGTTGATGCATATTCGAAATTTCGAAGATTTATCGAGCCCCGTAAACCCATCAAGACTCTTCTAACGTCAAACTTGACAAGCCACCCCGGGGCGATCAAGGCGCGGAGAGTTTGCACGAGTTCTTCTTTCGACGGCGGCCGCGACGGTTCTTGCAAACTTTTTTGACATATATTTGTCGAGCGACATTCCACGAATTTTTCCCTCGTCGATGATGGAATTCGCTGTTCTTTCGAAGCAAGCTCGCATGCGGTTGCATACAGACGGGGATGCATGTCGACGTGCATACCCCCAGTTGCGGAGTGCGGCGCAAGTCGACGACGTCGCCGCGGCCTTCGGAAGATTTGCGGCCACGCGCGCGGCTCTCTCCCACGCCGCGAAAACACGCCGCCGGAACGAACAATAAACGTCGATAATTATTTGATAAATTAATTCTGTACCATACGTATTGAATAATCGCCTGAGAGAAATAACGCGCTCGCGCAGCATGGTTACATTTACATCGTACATCATAAATCACCGGCGCGCTGCAACCGACACGATTTTGCATGTAGCTACGCACGGGCCGCAAGATATTACATTTTGAAAAATATAGAATTACTGGAAATGGAAATACGAGTGCGAAGGAAATGGAATTGTTGCACGAGGCGAAAGGCGAGCTATGAAATTTAATATCATGTTAAAATTACGAGTCGCCGAACGTCTTTATTTTACTGTATTTTACAAAATATTTCAAGCGAAAATAGATCATTTATAAAATATGGATATTTATAAATGGATCATTAATTAAAAATCATTAATTAATTAAAAAATGGATCATTTATAAAATATATATGGATATTTATAAAATCGCGATGGTCGTGCTAATTCTCGGGATGGCTATCTGCGCCGATTGAATAATTGCATTCATATATAGGTAATTAAAGAGCTATTGCAGTCATTAATCGCAATCATTGGCAATTTGCTACACAAATTACGGAGTCACGTTAGCGGTAAATGTCAATGTTTTCTAGTAATTACATTAATCGTATATACATATATTTCGATTTAAATGAAGTAACGCGCTATCGTAGTTGTGAATTAGTGAAGATCTAATGGCTTGTTTTACGTAATAGTAAAAAAAGGTAAAAAAAATATATCATACGCTCATCACCACGTTGATTGATCTTGGGCTAGCGCTGAGAGTGAGTAATGTAATTACAATGAATTGCATGTGAAATAATACAGACGTCTATGAAGTCATAAGTATATTTCAATATAAGTGCGAAAAGCATGACTAAAGATGCTTCGCACCTTTACAAACAATATTTACGAACAATATTTTATTATAAAATGCACCGTGGCTTGCATACTAGTGCGAAAAAGATTCACTTTTTGCATGCTAAACAAGCATAACAAACAACATTTTTTGTGCATGTATTACAAAAATATAATTATTGTTGGCCGGAGTCTTAATTACGAAGTCCTCCGTATTACTTTTATTTTACATATAATATAGAGGATTTCTACACGGAGAGAATTTTTTTTTTAATTTACCCTGCAAATCATGTTAATTGTGGAACAATATTTAGGCAAATTTTACTGTGCACTACAATAAATTTTATTGTATTTTACTACT